ATGAGTTGCCACCACATTTTTCAAAAGAACAGAAAATACTAGTGCACGCCACACAGCGCACATCCGTGCCGTTTCACCGTCCTCTTACTCCCGCGGGTGTGTGAATGTGTGTGTTTGTTCTCGGTGGCCGTGCAAAATCGCTTACTGTGGTTCAGTGCCAACTCAGAAAAGTTGGAAAGTCACTAGGTTAACCCGAAGAGTTATCAATCACTCCGTCACCTCTAAATACAATTTAAGCATGTCATTCAAAGTACAGAATATAAAAGTGTTTCCAAGGATGTGCAGGAACAACTGGACCTAGCAGTTAGACAAATGGTGGTGAACAGCATTGAACACTTAGTGTATGCAGGATTCACTCAGACTCTCCCCGGGGGATCTACCCCACGCTGCCCTCCCGACAGCACGTAAAGCCCGTCTGCACAGCCCTGCCAGGAAATGGATTCTCAGTATGGGGACGGGACTAAGTTTACTGTCTGAAGGTTACTCAGTGGAGCTCCTGGAACGTGCTGCTCGGGTCCCAGCCTCACACAGTGACTCACCCTGAGCCCTCACGTGGGATCGGTTCACTCCCTTTTCTGGGAAAGCCGGTAGGTTCATCTAGTCACACAGGGGGAAACCGAGGCCCACGTGCCCCGAGGCGAATGACAGTTGTGGAGTCACTGCAGGAAACCATGACTTGACAGTCTCTTTTAGCAGTTTTTTTTTCTTTTTTTTTTTTTAACGTTTATTTATGAGACAGAGAGACAGAGCATGAATGGGGGAGGGGCAGAGAGAGAGGGAGACACAGGATCTGAAACAGGCTCCAGGCTCTGAGCCATCAGCCCAGAGCCTGACGCGGGGCTGGAACTCACGAACCGCGAGATCATGACCTGAGCCGAAGTCGGACACTTAACCGACTGAGCCACCCAGGCGCCCCTCTTTTAGCAGTTTTTAATCTCTATCAGAAAAAAAAAAAAATCATTTCTTCCTCTTATCTTCTACAAATCTTACGTCTTATTCCTGGGAGCACAGAATGATGTCAAAATGTCAAGGCAACCCGGGTCCCTGATCAGCTGGACGAGAACCCAGCCAAGGGGTACAGAAATCAGGGGAGTCTGAGGCTGTCTGCTCACCAATTCAGTGACTATTTAGTTAACAGCTACTGTGTGCCAGCATTGTCCCGGAAAACACAGCCCTCGATGTCATGGCCTTACATTGTAGAAGCAGAGCATGACAAGAAACCCAATTTTATAATTAATTGTCTGATCACCATTGTGTTGTGAAATGCCATTAAGTACAGGGTGGTAACAGAACACGTCACAGTGGGAGCTGACCTGGTCTTGAGGGGCCAGGCAGGCTTTCTTGAGCAAGCAGAGATGGGAAGGAAAGATGGAGGTCACTTTGGTGTTCACGGTATTTAAAAAAATATATATATATATATAGAGATATATAGATATATCTATATCTCTATATATATATAACTTCCTTCTAGACATTAAAAACGCAGGATGTGTTGCATAAAATTCAGACTTTTATCTTCTCTTAAAAACACACAAAAAATGAGGGGCGCCTGAGTGGCTCAGTCAGTTAAGCATCCGACTTTGACTCAGGTCATGATCTCACGATTCGTGAGTTCAAGCCCCGAGTGGGGTTCTGAGCTGACAGTGCAGAGCCTGCTTGGGATTCTCTCTCTCTCTGCCCTTCCCCACTCATGCTTGCTCTCTCTCTCTCTCTATAAATATGTATATAAATAAACTTTAAAAACACACACAGAGAATGAGGCCACATTCCCACATAGCACCAGGGAGCTGCAGCCGTGGTGGCTGCTGTCCCAGATGGACACTTGTGTCCACATCACCACAGACCCTACTACTCCCTATCGCCTCCCCTCAGATCGCTGCACCGACATCTAGCATCTCGCCTGGCTGCCGTGCATGTCCGGGTCCACAGTCCTGAGGGAAATACACTGGTAAAAGGTGAAAGGGCAGGTGGGACTAAGGACAAGCTGGACAGAAAGGAAATCAGGTGGGAAGGCCCACAGAGGAAGAGAGACAGAAACCCCAAAGCTGTCTTTTAACTTAGTGCTTCGCCCAGGCCCCTGTGGGGAAGGAAGAATCATTATCCTTGTTTTGTGGATACATGGCTTGGCCAGACTCACACAGGGCTGGTGACAGGCCGAGGGAGGACTGCAACCCAGGCCATCGGCACTGCCTGCCCTCGGGGCCCAGGGTGTCAGCACAGAGAGGAGTCACAGGGACAAGAGGCTCTGGGGCCTCATTGAGTGAGGCCTTCCATGGCAGGAAACCAGCTGGGTGTGGACGAGCCCCAGAGACTTTTCAGCCGAGACAGTGAAGGAATCAGAAATGGCGTCTTCAGAGGCTGTGTTCACAGCGTGGACGCTGGTCAGGGGACAGCCGCACAGACCCAGAGATGCAGACAGGACCTTCTCTCCTAGCTGCGCCTTTGTCCCAGGTGGTCAGCCCGTTACTATAGCAACACTAACCAAGCCCCCTGACAGAGGCATGGGCCACTCCTCGACACCCCTCCTTCCTGTCCCTCTGAGACACGGCTGGCACTCCCGGAGGTCTGGGCCTCGGTTTTCACCATCTTTAAAATGATGGTTTAGGCAAAATGACTCCCAGCTCCCTCATTCCGTGACCCTCGGTCTCTGCCCTGCCTTGCCCACACCTGAGCATCGCACTCTGTGATCCCCACCCCAACCTGCTTGCCCAAATTCCTTCCACCTGTCTGACCTCTGGCGACAGCCACCAGGAATGTGCGTGCTATGGCCTCTGGGTCCTATCCGGAAAAACACGCTCCCCAGTGCCTCAGACATAAGGGCCCTGCGGCCTCCAAACCAGGCTTTGCAGAAGCAACCTGGTCAGTGCCGCACGGGAAACTGAGCTGTCCTCACAGAATGTCACACGTGGCTCTTCACAGCTGGAAAATGCAGTTCTACGAATATCATCTCGCCACATGTCCCAGCCAGAAAATAGCAAGTATTTGACTTCGGTTGTGGCTCCAAACCCCATAGTCTTTCCAAAGGCTTCCCAAAGACCTCTGGATGCATCACCAGGCACAAGGATCGATCTTTTCAAAGTTTTTTTTTTTTTATTTTAACGTTTTATTTATTTTTGAGACAGAGAGAGACAGAGCATGAGCAGGGGAGGGGCAGAGAGAGAGGGAGACACAGAATCGGAAACAGGGTCCAGGCTCTGAGCTGTCAGCACAGAGCCCGACGCGGGGCTCGAACTCATGAGCTGCGAGATCATGACCTGAGCCGAAGTCGACGCTCAAGTGACTGAGCCACCCACGCACCCCACAAGGATCGATCTTAAGAATAATCTAGACAGAGGGCTCGTGGGTGGCTCAGTTGGTTGAGCATCCAACGCTTGACTTCAGCTCAGGTCACGATCCCAGAGTCTTGAGATCGAGCCCCATGCTGGGTTCTGTGCTGAACATGGAACTTGTGTAAGATTCTGTCTCTCTCTCTCTCCCCCCCGACCCCACCTCTCCCCCCTCCCTCTCTCCCTCTGCCTCTCTCCCCTGCTCACATCCTCTCTAAAATGAAAAAAGTAAAAAATTTAAAAAAAGAAAAATTTAGACAGGAATTGAGTTAAAACTTCTCACGCACTTATAAGAGGCTTTGCTGATTTCCAAAGTGTGAGTTGGCGAGCAGGGAGGTCATGAGCTACTTGTCTGAAGACGACAGTCTCTGGTCTGCAGTTATGTATGCTCCAGTTCACTCTGGAGTTTTGTTATTTGTTTTGCAGGAGTGGCTTGTGTATTTCATTTTGTCCCCAGATACCTTGCAAGTGAAGTCTGACCCTTTCTAGCCCCTGCACAGCACCAGACTCCTACGCTGACAAGCAGCCTCTGTTTCAGTGCCCCACCTGCTCGTGGGCAGGCCTCCCCCTGACACGACCCCCACCCGACCACCTTGTCCTGACCGGGGAAGGCCCAAAGCTGACTTGCTGAGGCCCAGAGGGCTCCCATCAGCCCATCTCCCGGTCTCGCTCACTCCCCACCACCGTGTCCCTGTACGCCTCCCCGTAGGCACAGGGCTCTGCCGTCGGGTGTTGCGAAAATCCAGACTGCATTCTTTAGCTCCGTGTATCTGTACGTATGTTTGCTCCTCAAGCAGCTCAGGCTGATTGGTCACGTAGGTGGTGTGCTGGCTCCTGACTTTCTTCAAGCCTGGCCTTTTCCTGCACATTCCACAGTGTGGTGCCGGCCCGAGACGGGGGCGCGGATCCTGGCACACGGCAAACCTGGGCCTCGTCTTTTCTGAAACACTTATCATGTTGGCGATTTGCTCTCGCCTCCGCCTGGTGGTTCTTTAGCCCAAGAATCGTATAGTTATTTATTCAACAGCTTTGCCTTCCAACGGTGTTCCAAAGCCTCACCTGGGGCTCTAATTAACACAAAGGCAACCTTCGTGCCCTTGCTTCAGAGCAGAAGGGCACAGAGCGAGCTCCGTTCTCAGCAGCCTGACAGCCACACTCCCATGCTCGGATTCTCTCCCCTCTCTGTCTCGCATTCCCTGAAAGGCTCTTCAGGAAATGTTATTTTCATGGCTCTTCTATGCGAGGTCTCAAGATCCCCTTCTGCGTTTATCTCCTTTATGATCCGTCCCGCCTACTCTCCCTTGAACCATCAGCCTGTCACCTGCGCAGGTTATGTTGCCTGTCGGCAGCGCGGAAAGTTGGGGTTCCTGCTTGAGGCAGATTTATTTTCTGATGACTCTCAAACTTCAGCCTCTCCGGTGCTCGCTGCCCCGACCGTTCCTCCCTCCCTCTTGTTTTCTTCCGTGCCTGACCCATGCGTGGGCACAGATTTCCCAGTTAGTCTCCTGCCTGTTATTACCCCCTGACTAGCTGCCGTTGCGTTTAGGTGGGATTAGGGACGATCCAGCTGTAACTGGCTTAAACGTGTGCACATCTGAACGAGTCCCCATTTCTGCCTCAAGCACAGAAGCCGGCACAAACCCGCTTTCTCTCCTTCTCACCCCTCATTCTTACCTGGAAGGGGGTTGTCCCTCTTCCACATTCCTCCGGTTCCGGGCGCTCCAGCGGGCTGCCACGGGGTGTGCTGGGTTGCATTCCTCAGGCCGCTCCGTGAGGACCCAGGTGGGAATGAGCACCAAGTTCAGGGAAGAGTTGGTGCCCTTGGGGAAGGGGAGAAGAGCAGGCTGAGTTATCTGCGGCGCTCACGGGCAGGGAAGGGGACCAGCGCAGGGACAGGAGAGGGCACTGGCGGCTGCATGTGGAGCAGGACGTGAGCAGCTCTGGGAGTATGCAGAGACCTCTTCAGAAGCAGCTCTTCCTTTTTTCCCTGCAAAATAGGACATGCATCCAGAAAAGCGCAAAAGCATGAAGTACAACCTAATGAACTATTATACACAAGCAGCCTGTAACCAGGGTTTTAGTCAAGAAGTGGGGCTTGGCCGGCGCCCAAGAAATACCCCTCCAGCCTTCCCGGTCACCCACCCTTTGCGCCTTCCCCCAACGGTAATCATTGCTTGACTTTTATGGCAATGACTTCCTTTATTTCTTACGCTTTTACCTTGTCAACACTCCGTGCTGAATAACACAGCTTGGGTGGTGCCTGCCTTTCAATTGGCGAGATGCCAAGAGATAGGGGACATTGTGTGTCATAGGATATGCACAGGGGCGCCCGGGGGGCTCAGTTGGTTAAGCATCTGCCTCTTGATTTCGGCTCAGGTTATAATCTCACGGTTTATGGGATCGAACCCCACGTTGGGCTCTGTGCTGAGAGCAAGGAGCCTGCTTGGAATTCTCCCTCTCCCTCTCTCTTTGCCTCTCCCTTGCTTGCACCCATGCACTCTCTCTCTCTCTCAAAATAAGTTAAAAAAGAAAAAGCATCTTCCAAAAAAAACAGGATATGCACATATTCGATGTGATAGATGCCGCACTGCTCTCCGGGGAATGACAGTTCCCACTGCTCCGTATCCACGCCAACAATCATTTTTAAATTATAACAGTCTGCTGACTGTAGGGGTAGCTTGGAGTTTTAATTTGCATTTTCCCAATAAATAACAAGTTGAGCACTTTTGTATACAGTTATAGCCATGTGGATATCTTTTGTGATATGTGAAACTACGTGTCTATGTTTCCTATAGATTACCTGTCCTTTCTTAGTGATTTGTAGCAGTTCTTTGTATATTCTACATGGGAGCCCTTAGTCAGCTGTAAGCATTACAAATCTCTACTGCTCTCTTGTGCTTTGATTTGTCTCCTAATGGAAACTTTCCTTACATAGAAGTTTATATCATTATCACAATGTGGCTAAATGTGTCATATCTTGTCCTTTATGGTTAATGCTTTTCGTATCTTTTTTAAAATTTTTACTTATTTTTTTTTAATTTTTTTTTCAACGTTTTTTTATTTATTTTTTGGGACAGAGAGAGACAGAGCATGAACGGGGGAGGGGCAGAGAGAGAGGGAGACACAGAATCGGAAACAGGCTCCAGGCTCTGAGCATTCAGCCCAGAGCCCGACGCGGGGCTCGAACTCACGGACCGCGAGATCGTGACCTGGCTGAAGTCGGACGCTTAACCGACTGCGCCACCCAGGCGCCCCAATTTTTACTTATTTTTGACAGAGAGAAAGACACACAGCATGAGCAGGGGGAGGGGCAGAGAGAGAGGGAGACAGAATCTAAAGCAGGCTCCAGGCTCTGAGCTGTCAGCACAGAGCCCGACGCAGGGCTCAAACCCACAGACTGCGAGATCATGACCTGAGCTGAAGTCGGACGCTCAACCGACTGAGCCACCCAGACGCCCCAATGCTTTTCGTATCTTAAGAAATCTTTCTTGGGGCTCCTGGGTGGCTCAGTCAATTCAGCACCTGACTCTTGATTTCGGCTCAAGTCACGAACCCAGGGTCGTGGGATTGAGCCCTGCGTTGGCTCAGTGCTGAGTGTGGAGCCTCCTTGTGATTCTCTCTCTCTCCCTTTCTCTCTGCCCCTCCCCTGCTCATGCTCACTCTTTCTCAAAATAAAAAATTTAAAAAGGAACAAAATAAGTCTTTCTTTACCCCCCAAACATGAAGAAAGTCTACAACATTGTTTTCTGAAGGCTCATTATTTTTCCTTTTTCATTTAGACTTCTAATCCATCTGTCAGTGGTTTTTATCTTTTTAATATTCTGATTTTTTGAGAGAGAGAGAGAGAGAGAGAGAGAGAGAGAGAGAGAGAGAGAAAGCACGCATGTGCATGCGTGCACAAATTGGGGAGGGGCAGAAGGAGGGAGAGAGAATCCCAAGCAGGCTCCACACCCGGCTCAGAGCCCACGGGGCTCCCTGTCTCACTACCGTGAGATCAGGACCTGAGCTGAAATCAAGAGTCGGATACTTAACCAAGTGAGCCACCCAGGTGCTCCCATCTGGCAATTATTTTAATGTGTGAGTTAACGGCAAAGTTGTGTGTTTTGTTTTGTTTTGTTTTGTTTTGTTTTTCAGTATGAATGTCCAATTGTCCTGGAACCACCTCTAAGGAGACCATGTCCCCCGCACTGTTCTCCTGAGCCACTGTTGGTCTACGTCAATCCTCCGTATATGCATGGGTCCCTCTCTATGCTCTGCATTCTGTTCCATTTGTGTTTGTCCTTGTGTTACCACCACACAGTCTAATTACAGTGGGTCTATAATTAGTCTTGAAATCCAGTAAAGCAAGTCCTCCTACCTTCTCCAAGAGTGATTTGGCTATTCTTGGTCCCTCTGAATTTCCACATGAATTTGAGTAAGTTTGTCAAGTTTCATTGAAAGAATCTCTTGGGATTTTCATGATATTGAGTTAAATCTGCTGATTAGGAGCACTTGGGTGGTTCAGTCAGTTAAACATCTGACTTCGGCTCAGTCATGATCTCGCAGCTTGCGAGTTTCAGCCCCGTGTCGGGCTCTGTGCTGACAGCTGGGAGCCTGGAGCCTGCTTCAGATTCTGTGTCTCCCTCTCTCTCTGCCCCTCCCCTGCTAGCGCTCTGTCTCTGTCTCTCAAAGTAGTAAATAAACATTTAAAAAAATCTGCAGATTAATTTGGGGGAATTAACCTGTGAAAAATAATTAATCTTCCAGTGCTTAAACATAGAATTTCCACTTCTTCTGTTCTTCTTTAACTTATCAAAAAAATATTGCATTCTTTTTTTTAATATTATATTTTTTATATACAGAAGTACTGCATTTTCTTAGATTTACAACTACACACCTGATATTTCAATATAGTGAGTTATTTTAATTTCATTTAATTTGTTGGTTGCTAATACAAAGAAGTAAAGTTGGGTTTTTTTTGTATGTATTGATATCATATAAAGCAAACTAGTTACACTTGTTAATTCCTTTTGGACTATCTACCTATAATCAGAATGCCTGCAAATGGTGACAATTTTATTTTTTTCCCAACCTTTATACCATTTGTTTTTGTTTTCTCTTCTGTTAGTCCCCTGGCGAGTACCTCAAGTACAACAACATTCAATGCAACTGACGACAGTGACTATGCTGGCCTTGTTGGCCATCTCACATGAAAAGTTTTCAATGTTTGACCGTTAACAGTACTGCTTGTTGTAGACTTCTCCAGATACTCTTAATGAGATTCGGGAAGTTCCCTCCAGGGTTATCTGTTAAAAATTTTTATCACAAATCAATGTTGAATTTTTCCAACGCTTTCTGCATCTGTTGGGGTGATTATATGATTTTCTCCTTTAATTGTTAATAGGCATTGACTGATCTTCAAATGTTAAATGAAAGCTTGAATTTGTGAAATAAACTGAGCCTGGTTTTATCCTGTTTGCTGATACTTTATAGAGGATCTTTGCCTCTCTACTGATCAGGGAGATTGAACCATAGTTTTCCTTTTCTTTCCCTGAATTCTTGACCTTTATAGACAGTGGCATTAAGATCACGTTGACCTCACATCAGGAATGGCAAATGTTCTCTTTTGTGATTCTGAAAAACAGTGCGTGTCGTGTAGATGTTATTCTTATTGTTTGGTAGAATTTGCTAATGAAGCCATTTTGGCCTAGAGTCTCATTCATGGACCCAACAGCTTTGACAGCTATGAAACTATTCATATTTTCTAATTCCCATTTATTTCAGTAAGTTATATTTTTCTAAGAACCTTTCTATCTCAAGAAAAAAAGACTTTTCTATTTCAACTCAATTTTCAAGTTTGTTCAAACTAGTATTCCATTTTTCTATATGAACAGAAAAATATTTCTAATTTTTCTATTTCAACTAAATATTCAAGTTGTAAAGCTCATACTACTTTTAATTTTTTATGTTAATAGAATATGTTGCCCTGGCTTTCCCTCCTGTCTGCTCCCAATCTTGACAAGGTAATTCTTTCCTGTTAGCTCTAAAATTTGAAAACCAATGGTCCAGTAATGCTCATTCTTTACTGAACATTAAATTCACCTAAGGAATTATTTCTTCTTTTAATGCCAGTACATAAACTCCATCCCGGGACAATTAAGTCAATAGTTTTAAGTAGATCTCAGCTGATTTCATGGGTATGCAGCATGGAGAACCACTGGTTGATGCTACAATTTCTCAGCCGTAGTGCTATTGACATTTTGGGCCTGAGAATTCTCTGTTATGACGGCTGCTCTGTGCATCGCACGTATCTGGCAGCACTTCTGGCCTCCGCCCACTAGATACCTAAACATCCACCCTGCATCCCCCACAGGTGTGACAACCAGCAATGTCCCCAAACATTGCCAAATATCCAGTCACCAGACAACCATGATTCCAGACCAGATGAGGTAGCTGTAACAGGGATATGGATTAAATAAGAGGGCAATTTCAACCGGTATGAAAACTATCTTTCCAATGAGCAGAGACACATGACATCAGAATGGACTGTTCCCCAGAGTCATGATGGCCTGTTGTGTTAGCTCGAGTGGTGGCCATAATAAAATAGCACAGTGTGGGCTCCTTTAAGAGAGGTAATGAATTCCCTCACAGCTCTGGAGGCTAGAAGTTCAAGTTCAAGGTGTCAGCAGGTTTGGTGAAACCTCTCTCCTTGGCTCACAGATGGCCGCCTACTCTTGTGTCCTCACAAGGCCTTTTCTCTTTGAGTATATATCCCTTTATATATCCAAACGTCCTCTTCCTACAAGGACACCTGCCATATTGGATTAGAACTACTTTTATGACCTCATCTAACATTAATTACCTGTCAAAAGGCCCTACCTCCAAATACAGTCACATTCTGAGGCACTGGGTAGTTAGGACATCAACATACTCATTCTGGTGGCGGGGACACAATTCAATTCACAACACCTATCAACGAAGGCATGCAAAACAATGGCCTGATAGTCA